CAGGGGGGCCATCCCCCCCGGGGGGGGGGGAGGGTGATTTCTCACTTTCTGTCTGTTTTTCTGGCAAGCGCATGCGCCCGATAGCTAAAAAAATGATGTATTTAATACCATTTGTTATCATTATTCTTGTCCCCCCCCCACTAATTTGACCACAGAGAGAAAATGAGAAAGCAAGCCTCCACATCTGGGACTTGAACTGCGGTTGGCCCTGTGGGAGTCCAGCATCTTAACCACCATGCCACCTGCCGGCCCAGTCCTGGTGGCATTCGGAGAGGGAGAAGGACCAAAGCTGACCCAGGGAGGGGGACACGCATGCCTGTCCTTTCACTGCCATGTGCCGCCCGTGTCACCTCAGGCCTCAGCAGGCCCTCACCAGAAGTGGCCCTTTGACCCCAAACTTGCAAAACTACAAGTTAAATAAACTATTTTCTTTTAAGAGAGATTTTTGCTATAGGGCGCTTACACTTGCCAGAGAGACAGAGACAGACAGACAGTGAGAAATCACCCACGGGGTGAAGGCCATGCAGCAATCCCTTCTCCATTCTCCTCTTGGGATTTTGGGCGCACACACACACGTGCCCGATGTGCGTTTCAAGGTGCCGGGCCTGGGATTCTAACTACGGCTGGTCATGTGTGTGTGGGGGGTGTCTAACCACGAAACCATTACGCCATCTGCTGGTCACATCTACTTTTTAAAAAGAGGCTTTAGCCATAGGGCATGTGTGCTAGCTGGAGAGAGAGAGAGAGAGAGGAACTAGCAGTTGGCGTAATGGCTATGTCGCTGGACTCCCATGTCGTTGACTGTGGTTCGAGTCTTGGATCGGTGGCTTAAACTCACACCAGGTGTGTGTGTGCCCAAGATCCCGAGAGGAGAATGGAGAAGGGACTGCGACGTGGCCACTTCCCCCCATGGGTTGATTTCTCTGTCTCTCTCCTGGAAGAGTGTACACGCCTTATAGCAAAATGGCCCATGCCCCAATCCCTTTTCCTCCATTCTCCTCCCAGGATCTTGGGCACGGACACACACGTGCCCAATATGAATTTTTTTGGGTAAAGATTTATTTTATTTGTTAATTAGTATATATTTAAAAATAATTATTTAACTTTTAAAATTTGTTCTATTTTAACTTGACCAGAAAGGGACAGCCACTGGCTGCCTGTCACCTGTGCTGCTGGTGCCCCAAGCTCTTCTTCCCGTGATCTCCTGGGGGCCGTGACGCAGCCGTTCCCCCTCGGCTCAGTGCAGAGTCACCTGCTCCCCGGCTCCCCGGCCCCCACACTTCTCGGCCACACGCCCTCCAACACCTCCTGCTTTCTGTTCTGTGGGTTCCCTTGTTTAGACTTTTTTATGCTATGGGGTGCATGCGCTCGTCAGAGAGAGAGTGAAAAATCACCCCGGGGAGACGGCCACGCTGCAGTCCCTTCCCCAGCCTCCTCTCGGGGTCTCATGCGTGCCTATCTGCCTGCATGCTTTCCAGTCCGCTGGCTCTGGGACTCCAACTGCGGGGTCAGCTGTGTGGGAGCCAGCACCCTAACCTCGAGGCCACCTGCGGGTCCCTCACACCTCTTAATACGAAAGGTGACACCCAGGCACAGATGGCTTTGCCCTGAGGCGTGATGCCCTGAGACGCTGGGAAACTCGGTGCTGGGAATCCCGGGGCAGCTCCCGGGCCAGCCTGGCCCCGCTGTGGTTTGTGGGCTCCGTCTGTAATGCTGAGGGTAGCGGTAGCCCCCCGCAGTTCGATGGCAGCTCGCGCCCTCCTGCTGGCTGGAGTCGGGCCGAGTTCTGCGCTGGGTGCTGTGAAGCTGGGTACTTGAGCTGGGTTCTGCTTCTCCTGGGGTACACCCGGGAATGTGAGGGCATGGTTGTAGCGTGGAGGGCTGCTTGGCTTTTTTTTTGGAGAGGTTTTTGCTACAGGGCACGTGCGCTTGCCAGACAGACAGAGAGACAGAGAGACTGAAAGCGAGAAATCACCCCCTAGGGGGGATGGCCACGCCGCAATCCCTTCTCCATTCCCCTCTCGGGATCAGCACGCACGCGCGTGCACCCGGAGTGAGTTTAAGCCACCAGGTCTGGGACGCGAACTGTGGTTGACTACATGGGAGTCCAGCGACATAGCCATTATGCTAACTGCTGGGCCCGTGGGGGCTGCTTGGCTTCTGAGACACTGAGTGAGTTCGCACTCGCCCAGCACGCGCGTGGTCCTTGTCCTCGGCTCAAACCCTGGTGGTGGCCGGTCCATGGCACCGGTATAAACGAGCACTTCCATCGGTTCTAACCCGCATTCCCCAATGAGCTAAGAAGCCGGCAGGTCTCTCAGAGCACTGGGTGTCTGAAGGCCTCCTGAGGGCCGCCCCTGCTCCCGGCTGGGGCCCGCCTCCTGGGAACCCTCTGCTGGACGCGATCACGGCCGGCGCTTGCTTCCTCCTGGGGCTTTACCCTCCTCGTGGTGGCACCGGATGAATGGATCTCGATTTTTAAAACACTTGTCAGCGGTCACGGCCACTGCCTGGAGTGAGTGACAGAAAGGGAAAGTGAGGCCGGTAGGTGGCGTGGTGTTAAGGCGTTGGCTGATCACGGTTCGAGTCCCGGACCTGGCGGCTTGGCTTGCTTTCTCACTTTCCCTCTCTCTCACTCTGTCACTCTCTGGTCAAATTAATGTATGTAAAAAAGTAACTAAATAAAGTTCAATAAAATCATTCTTCAAAAAAAAAAAAGGAAGAAGGGAAAATGAGAAAGCACTCCCATGAGCAAAGGCCACACCGCAGTCCCTTCTCCACCCCCGCCTCCTCTCGGGACTTTGGGCATGCATGCCCGCCCAGTGCACTTAAGGCCCCAGGTCTGGAGTGTGAACTGCAGTCTCCCATGTGGGATCCGGCTGCCTTCACCACCGGGCCATGACAGGGACCCAGACCTTAATTACGTCTGGTAGATCTGAGCAGCCGCCCTGTCCCCCACTCCTGGGGGTCACCCACACACCACCGGTACCAGGGAGCAGCCGCCTGCCCTCGTCACACCCTCCTGCTCTGAGGAAAAGCGCCCGCGGGCCGAGCTCACTGGAAACCCGTCCACCTCCGAGGCCTGCCAGGGTGGTGTAGGAGCACAGGGCCCCAGAGGAAGGCTGGGGAGCCGGGAGTGCCCGAGAACGAAGCGCCCGCCTCGGCCTGACTGACTCGCGGCCCAGGTTTGCCATGGCTGGGCATCAGCCGAGCGCGATGACAATGACAAAGCTGTTACTATCCTGGAGCCCCAGGAGCACGGATCCCTACGCCTTTACCGCCCTGTCCCACCACTAGACCGGGAAGTGACATACAGAGTGACCAAGGCCTTGTCTGGTGGAGGCCCCTGGGGAGGACATTTAATTATTGCCAAGAAAGGAGAGAGAGAACTCCCAGCACAGCCTTGCCGCGGGTCACCCTCGGTCAGCCCGGATGACGGCACGTCTGTGCCCAGCGAACTCACGGTCCCTAGACTTGAACTCGGAACGTCCCCATGAGGGGTTT